CACAGACGAAGGCAGGCTGCAACTTTTTAAGTTTTCTTCAAAGTTTTTTAGAAGTCTGGCGCACAGAAAAGAAGGAAAGATGAAACCAAAGGCTTGAGAGGTTTTAGGAGTAAATATTAAAAATAAGCTGAGGCTGAGTCTGGAACAGGTCCAGGAACGGAAAAGCAGAAGCATGACGCCCATTCAGAGCCTGGGAAGAAGCAACGAGTTTATCGATGGGATTTTAAAGTGTAGCATCGGCTAGCTGGTATTAGGGAGAAAACACCTTTTCTTTTATAGAAATACTTGAGGTAGATGTAGATGAAGGGTCCAAAAGGACTGTGCTGTCCCGTTTCCTAGCATAGCCATCAGCTAGCCTGACGGCTGGTATAAAAAGAGAGATAGCTTGATATATAGAAAATAACCCAACTTTATTCTTAAGGCGTGAGGCTTTTATTTTGCTGCTGCTGTGATAATGTGGCATTAAATGGTCTGAAAACAGCTTGAATTCTGTTTCTGTCGTATTTAGCTTTGATTACAGACATTCACTGCAGTGATTTAGTCAGTTTACTTATTTACAAGGAAAACTTGAAGTTGAATTACTTCAATTAACGGTGTCACTGCTGCCACCTCCTGGTTCAGAAGAGAACTACGTGATCAGGAGGTGGATTATTCACCTGCTGGCGTCCATCAGCCTGAACTTTAGCCTGAGGTTAGCTAAACTCCACCTGATGCCTCCTGGAAGCATCAGATCCTGGTTCTGATTCTCGGTCAGGATCCAGTCCAGGTTCTGATCTCTGGACCCTAACAGGTGCCGCTGTAAAAAGGTCCGATGGGGTCAGGGTTACCTGTGCGCTCTGCTCTCCTCTTCCTGTGGCCGGCTGCACGTCGGTCAGCTCCACATCAAACAGGAAGAAGATGAATCCGTAGAGAGCCGGACCCAAGCCGTTACAGAGACCCCTGATCCCCGTGATCATCCCCTGAACCACACCTGGACACACAGCACAGCAGCACTCAAGGTTCTGCTACCGGTTCTGGTCGGACAGGAGAACGGGGCGGGAACGGAACCCGCTGAGCTCACCTTGCTGGTCGGCGGCTGCGTTGTGCGAAACCAGAGCAGAGACTGCTGGGAAGGTGATGGAGGACATGGCAGCTATGGTTCCTGCTGCCCACATCATCCTGCAGGGACAGAACCACATCAGAACCAGAACCAGAACCAGGGGGTTTATAGGGAAGACGGGAACGGAGCAGGGACTCACCACGGCGCAGAGCCGAAGGCGTACCAGCACAGCTGCAGCAGCTGGAAGCCCAGACCCAGCAGAACCGTGTTCTTCTTCCCGATGGTCCTCATCAGGATGCTGAGGAAGACAGTCTGATGGGAGAGAGAGACGGATCCCGTTTAGTTTCTAAGTTCTGCAATCAGACCAGCTGACAGCCAGTCGCTAAATAACCTCCAGAACCGAGGCCCAGATGGTCCGCAGCGCTACCTGAGCGACGATGGAGAGGACTCCCACCATGGCGATGAAGGCAGCGATGGCTGCAGGGGAAAACTGGATCACCTGGAGGAGGAAACGGAGCCGTTAGGATGGAAAACCCAGGAGATTCCAGGAAGAGATGAGAGGCCGCCTGGAGTTTCCACTCTGATGGTGTTTGGATGCAGATTTTCTTTAGCTTGTGAGGACATTTAGGCTCGTTTGTTAATCGGATTTAAAACCCGCAGACTGTTAATCAAAACGCCAAATAAAACGCACATAAAACAGCGAATGCACCTGATTCAGGGTTAAAAACACCTAAAGCTGCTTTAGAGGCCCGAAAAAATGAACAATTAGCTTTGAGTGGCAGTGGGAACATTCACTGACTTGTGTCAAACGACCCGCCTTAAAATCTCCTCAGCTCTGATTGGCACGCTGTGGGACAGGGGCCGGCAACCCAAACTGCTCAAAGAGCCATAAAGAGCCATAAAACTAATCTGTCTAGAGCTGCAAAAATGTAAAAGTCTTATAAAGCCTCGTTTGGCAACACAGGCTCTAAGTCAGGGGAGTCAAAGTGGTTCCAGAAAGGGCGGTGTGGCTGCAGGTTTTCTTTCCAACCAAGCATCAGCATCAGACTCCATTCATCTCATCAAACGAGTCCAATCTGAACATGATGACTTACGGCCTTTACTGAAAAAATAAGTAGTATGCCGCGTTTCTCCTGTGGAAACTTTGTTCAAATATTTAAATTTTGAAAAGCAGCCGATGCTGGACGCTCTGCATCA